AACATCAAAAACTGGAGGTGGAACAAAGCCACCATCACCTTCTCGAGACACAATGGTTTGAAGTAGATTTCAATGAATTTGATTGTGATGGTGTCGAGGTAGGAATGTTAATTATAAATATGATGTATGGTGATGTTCAAGGTTCAACCTTTCAAGCATAGGCATATGCTTACAACATTACTTTATTCCCCTACAGGGTAGTTAGAGATATTGTAATACCTCAAAACATCCATGTTGCACTTGTAGTACCGAAACTCTGTCCTGCCAGAAGTGAGCCCATTCCCACTTATAATGGACAGTGGGTATAATACACCTTAATACCTGAGTGCGAACCACTCACCATGATACTTAAATTAATAGATGTTATTTATATATTTCAGGTTATTACAAATAAAATCATTTTGGAAACAATTGATATCCCAAAAGCAAATAAAGCCAACAATGACAAGGTAATAAATCAGTTTTGACATAACTTGAATACTAAAAAAGCCAAACAAAGGTGTGCACAACAGTGACAACATAACTTAACAATTTCATTATTTTGTAGGATTAAAGAAAGGTTAAAGAAAATCATGTCGAACTGAACAACAAGAATCCCCAAACAACTCCAAAGAAACCTACAAGGAAGACACCGGTATTATATTTAAATTATCTCTATCTCTAAATAGAATAAAAGAAAGTTGCTATCCAGGTCTGTAGCATGTGCTACAAATTATATTATTAACACATTTATATAATTATATTAATATAAATGTGTTAAAAAATTTATAAAATGAATTATAAAAATTTTTAAGTTTTGCATGGACAGAGCTTAAATTAATATTCTCTTATTTGTTGCAGAAAGCAAGTAGTTTTGGAGAAGCCTCGTAGATGCACAACCAAGTAATGATTAATTTAAAATTACAAACCGAAATTCTGATGAAGACATTAGAGTCACTTAAAAATAAATAGTATAATGAAATAAAAATGTTTTAAAGATAAATAGTGTTTTATTTGTTTAATGTAAGAGAATAATAATAAATATTTATTTAATTAATTTTTCAAAAGTAAACTGAACTTTATTGACTTTAATGACTCCTTTTCCAGTCTTTGATTATTTAATTGTAATTAATTATTTGCATGCAATCAAAAACTATTTTTAATAATGCCAAAGAAGTATAACTTCTTACGCGCGTACATAAGTACACGCACCCCTTTTTTTTTTGACTATTTGAGAATGTCAAAAAACACATATGAGGGCAAGCGTGTCACCAGAAGAAAAACTCTCCACTTCATCAATAAATAACTCAGTGTCGAAGCGATAGCGAGCTCACGCGTGCTCTTGTAAATTGTAATGACGTGTTAATCGCGCGGTGCCCGCAATGCTTATGAACGCTGAGTAAGATCTTCATAGTAATAGAACCGCGCGGGTGCCGCACGATTCTATTTTTGAAGTTATACTTCTTTAGGCGCGTTATGAAAAATTTATGAGAGTGAAATTTTACGATGCGCGCGCACCGTGACACAATATTATCAGTATGGGCGCCGAGCGTGCGCGAGCGAGATGGGAATAAGACAATCTACAAGTAAAAAGAAATAGAATATGCGTGAAGTTAGCAGCTATGCCAAGAATTTTGAATAACCATAATGACATTTGTAGTACCTTTTAAACAAATAAAGGAGTTTTAATTATTTTTTCAAAGAAATTTAGCAATGCTTTTTCACAAAGACCTATTGTTACTTAGTTAAAAGGTTATGAAACATACCTAGTTATTAAATTGAATTAATAATATAATAAAATAATAAATAATAATTATTATTAATTAATAATTGAATAATATACTAAATATTGTTCAATTATTAACGCTAAATATTTATTATTAATTATTTAATATTTAAAAAAAATAAAGAAAGCCATACGCTGGCCATAGACCGCCGCACGGCGAACTGCAGTTTCCATACTAAATTCATATCCGCCATACACGGACCGCACGACCAGTTTCTGAGCGGTAGGAGCAGCCGCTCTGCGGTCGAGTTTCGCCGTGCGGTCGACTGCTTAGAGCTGCCGGACCCACCATACACGGACCGCTACAAGCGGTTGCTGCCGACCACACGCCACTCCCTCAAATAAAATAAAATACTAACTAATTCATCAAATGAAACCACGGACATTCTAAAGTAGTTGAAAAACTTTTTAGTGTCTTCCCTCAGCTGGTGATACAAAGAATGAAATATTCCATCCTGTTCTCTTGATTGTAGTATTGGACGCACCCACATACTGTGTCTTCTACGCCTACGCTCGCGTAATAATAGTATAAGTAGCAGTGTTTCTTCATCGAAATCCATCTTGTAAATGAACTGGCATCAGTATTATTTTGCGGTCGAACACAACTGCTCCAAGCAGTCGTAGTCGACTGCATTATGCGGTCGTGTTACAGTCGTGTACGACTTCAACGCGACCGCTCTAGAGCAGTCGGTCTCGAAAGAAGTATTACTTCTTACGCGCATACATAAGTACACGCACCATTATTTTTATAACCGCGCGATTATCTGTGGACGATTATCTAAACACCTAAGTAAATAAGATCCACGCGGTTCGGTGATTTTCAAACCGCGTGGTTCCCGCCGTGTCTAAACTAGGCCTTAATGTAAGAGAATAATAATAAATATTTATTTTTTTAATTATTGACTTTATTGACTATAATGACTCCTTTTCCAGTCTTTGATTATTTAATTGTAATTATTTGCATGCAATCAAAAACTATTTTTAATAATGCCAAATAAGTATAACTTCTTACGCGCGTACATAAGTACACGCACCCTTTTTTATTACGAATTATATATTCTTACTAATATTATAAATGCGAAAGTGTTAAGTTCAATGAATTTTCGTCTACATAATACGATTGAATAAAAACAACATTAGACAAAAGTAAGAGGTGACTTTGTTTTTTTTGGATCGAGGAATTTATATTGTATTGTTTTTAATTCGAGTCAACCATTGTTATTATAGTGAAGGATCAATACATGATTTTTTTAAATTCAAACATCACATACTTAAAACAAATCAAATCTACGATGAGTGATTTTGGTTATAGCTCGCTCTTAAAAACGATATTCCTACTCGGATCGTGGATTCTGCATTCTCTTTGATCATACCAATGAAGTGTAATTTCCCTTTAATAACTATGTATTACATTTTAATTTTTTAAGCATTCTATTTTCGAGGTATCCCACATTCATTTACTTACTTTGGTGAAGACAAAAGACACTGATAAAAATAAACTCAATATTTAATTCAATTTATTATTAAAATGTAAATGTAATCTAAAATACAATTTGGAATTATCTAACAATTTTAAGGCTTAAAATAGTTTATAAACTTTACCAGTTCACATCAGATTAAAAACTTCGAGCCTACAGCCCCGTGTTTCAGCTGAACATCTTTGCTTTGTATATTTTTTTACTGAACTCGCAGGCTTATTATAAAAAATATAAAATTATTTTAATATACGAAAATTAAAAGAAATTAATATTTCACACATTAATATAGTAAAAAAATATTACCTTATTTAATCACTTGCATAACTTTCAAATGCAACTCATATAGCCAGCTAAAACCACAACATAAGCTTCAAAACCTATTTGATTTGAGAATTATACATAAATAACAAATGACGATCGGCCGCGATATTCAAAATAAGTTTGTTAAAATTTTATTGTAAAACCAGTTGCCGCTTTGGCTCCCATTACACACATATGAAACCATTTAATAAATAGTATTGTTCAGTGGACCCCGGGATTCTTTATATGCCGTAACGGGTACGGGATTCAGATTAAAATAAAATAAATCAGTGGCGCTAATACCTTTTTATGTCTGGGCCTCAGATTTCTGTATCTGTTTCATGATTATTTGTAACTACTTAACTGTGTTCAAGTATTATGAAAGCACTATGGGGGGTCTTTGATTTTCATATTTGGTGATTACGTCAACAATAATTATTCACTTTTCACAAATATTATCCACACATTGACTATGCTTGAAAACGAAATGCATTTTCGAGGATTCCTAAAAAATATTTAAACGCGTACTCGTATTATTTTTCTGAGCTTTGCTTACTTTTGCTGACAAGAGGAAGGGTGTGTGGGGGGGGAGGTAAATCTGCTTACGTAATACTTGAACGGCCCCTAATCAGCCTCCTGTGCCTGTCGCGCCGTCAAATTTTTGGGTCTAAAGATGTCTTTCATCGTTCGAGCGATTGTTAAATGCGCACATAGACAGAAAGTCTATTTGTGCATATCCTATTGGAACCTACGACCTCAGGGATAAGTCGCACGCTGAAGCCACTAGGCCAACACTGCTCTCACGGGGTTCAGTTTGGTAAACAGAATTTACTCCTATTAACACGATTTTTTAACAAGCCTAATTGACTGTGTTGAAAAATGTAGGCTTTTTGGCTGACGCACTCTTCTTTCAATCAATCTAATTGGTATCATTGTTCAAGCACTTTATAACAAAGGCCCTATATATCTTCCCTCCTTATGGTTTATGACCTGAAGTACAAATGATTTAATGACAATTTTAAAACTAAAGGCGGACGTTGGGTACGCGAAATCTACGTACGTACATACTCGTATACGCAATGGCGTTCACCGGATTTCTTAAGCAGGCTATGGTCTGATTTAAAATTTAAATATTTACGGAATTTGTATTTATATTTATAATTTGTATTTATGTAATTTAACCTTTAGTATAGGATTGTGTGTTAGCTAAGTATCGACTCTAAATTCTCAAACGCATCTCTTTTTAAAAGTATAATTTTACAAAACGTTCTAGAACATTACTAGAGCCAATTCTTAACATTACAATATTCACATAACTTTTAAAATAAGTAGTCTAAGTACACTTTAAAATTACAATAAAAATCAAACATTTTTAGATAACTTCTGATTTTTGTAAAACTATTGTTTTGAATACAACTTACACACACTAAGTAGAAATTCACACAAACTTACACACACTAAGTAGAAATTGTAATCATAATCTCTTTTAAATGTGTCAATCTCTCCAACACAGATTCATGTATGAATTCATCATTAAATGTCGATCCAATTTTCATATACGTATATGGAGCGAAAGCCAAATGATTTCTGATACTGAGTGAGCTGTTAATATCGGGCATTGAATAGATGAGTTTATTCACGCCTTTTGGTTTAAGATTACGAAAAACTAATCCTTTGTCGCGATTATTAATAAAGTCTTCGGAGAGACAGTTAACGAAATCAGAAGAGAATGGTATGAGGATGTTCTTGTAACTACTATATAAATGGTCTTTGCCGTGGTTCGCTTTGTATGCGGGTAGAAGTTGTTTGTACCTGAAAAGAAAACAGGTATTTACTTGATAATAATTGGTTGTTATTTGAGGGTAACATAGTATACAGTAGATTAGAAAGCAACATTAACAATTTTTTAATTACACAATATAAACTGGACTTATAAAAATCGAAAAAGAAACACCGTTGACCACCGGCATAATATGTCAGGCAAAGAATTACTATAAGTAAAAAAAATTACATGGAGTAAAAATCGAATATATAAAATTCTCGTGTCACAATGTTCGTTCCCATACTTCGCCGAAACGGCTCGACCGATTCTTATGAATTTTTTATGCATATTTAGTAAGTCTGAGAATCGGCTACTATTTATCTTTCAAACCCTTAAGTGACAAGGGGTGTCCATATCACAAAAAAAAAAATTTACCTACGATGAACCACTATTTTTTAATTGTTAATTAAAATCTTATGACGTTAACTGTGAGGTTTATATAGAGAAAAATTCACGGAAAACCTAAAAAGATTTCTTTCAGAACACCGAACAGTCTCTAAGGTAGCATAACAAAATGTTCCATGTTTGTACTAAAAAGGTAGGCTAGACATTAAGGAGAAACGAGGTTCGCGGGGGCAGCTCGTAATTATATTTAAAAAAATCACTTACATTTTTAATAAATCAGCGAGCATATCGATCATCAGAGCGCAATTGTTTAACAAAGGCATACTCAGTACGAGCATTCCGGGAACTGCGCCTACGCACTCGCCAAGCCCAATCTGCGTGCACGTATACGCACACGACACTAGCGCCTGAAGACCGCTTAGTACTAGGCGTATATCATCTACAAAAAAAAATATTTTATTAAACATTTTATCTTAACTAACATCACCCTCAAAAAAAAGGATAAAAAATTACACCTTTCATTCATCGATTTAAAAAAATAAATCAGTGGCGCTACAACCTCTTTAGGTCTTGGTCTCAGATTTCTGGATCTGTTTCATGATCATTTTTAAATCTAATAGGCAAGTAGGTGATCAGCCCCCAGTGCCTGACACACGCCGTCAACTTTTTGGGTCTAAGACGTAATCCGTTTCCTCACGACGTTTTCCTTCACCGTTCGAGCAAATGTTAAATGCGCACATAGAAAGTCCATTGGTGCACAGCCGGGGATCGAACCTACGACCTCAGGTATGAGAGTCGCACGCTGAAGCTAGGCCAACACTGCTCCATCGATTTTTAAGTCGATTAAAAATGTAAATTAAATTTATCCTGCTGAGAACAGCCTTCCATGCGTTGAGTAAACTGTTAAAATTAAGCGATATATATATGAAATAACATTTTGTTTTTGTATGAACACAAATATTTTTTTTAAGTCTAGCTAAAAATTTAAGTTAAAAAATCTCACCAGGATTGATTTGCAAGCATTTGTTACACATAACAGTGAGAGAATTTGCTACGATGTTCGTTCCCTCTCTAAACTTTTCATCTGTTGGTTTCTCGAGGACAAAATATTTATTTGGTCGCGTACTTGTGTAAACCTAAAAAAATCAAGATACCTTTAGTCCTTTAGATTGAAAGAATGATGATATTGATGAATACGAATAATTTATATTAGAAAAAACTACATTAACCTAATCCCGAACTGTAGCCGAATTCTTCAAACGTCTAATATTTTTATGTTTTTTTTTTTTTTTTAATTTTTTTAAAGACAATTCACACCAATTGACCTAGTCCCATGCTAAGCTGGTGAAGCTTGTTTTATGGGTACTAGGCAACGGATATACATACATATTATAGATAGATAGACATACAAATACATATTTAAACACCCAAGACCTAAGCACAACACCAAATGCTCATCACATCGATGTTCGTCTTAGCCGGGGATAGAACCCGGAACCCATGGATTCGCAGTCAGGGGTAATAACCACTAGACCAATGAGTCGTCAAATTATTCATGTAAATTCTGTAGGAATAAGTTATTTAAAGAGGGCTTTATGGTAGTCTAGATGCGTAGAAAGGGAGAAAAATGATTAGAATTAGTTTGTGCATATTTTTTTAATAAAAACCTTCAATATTCAGGGACAGGAGCTTCACCTGATGCTAAATGCCCATAGACACTCTCAATGCCAGAAGGCTCGCGTGGTTGACCTTATAAGTATTAGTACGCATTTTTCTTGAAAGACCGTAGATCGAAGCCTATGACAACCATTTGTAAACCATAGTTTTTTAAGTAAAGAAAAACTAATGTCACTTGGACACTTGGGGCAAATGTCATTTATTTGTATTTGTCAGAATGGAAGCTACGAGCGATTAATAATTGCAAATAGACAAAGCAAATTAACATAACCAAAAGAATATGACTAAAATTGAAAAATATTCACTGGTTCTAGTACGAAATTCGTCCTTTATCAATTCTATGACCTCATGCCCCTTTTGGGTTACGACACTCTAAATACCAAAATCCGTATGGGGAAAACTGTAATCTGTGATGACGCTCAGACATGAGGTACCGACTCAAGAGAGAGTATATACTCTATACCATAGAGTATATTTACTTACCAAATTCGTATACATTGCAGTCACAGTCTTGATTATAAGGCATTGGTGTATTGGTTGAGCTCGGCAGCACATTTGTGTGACCACACTTAATATGTCCAAAACTAATTCTGGACTGTCAATACTTATCCATTCGAGGAGGGACATTATCTGAAATTATAATTTAGAATTTAGTTTCATTCAAATCGCAGAGTTTTTTATTATTCAGCCCCACCGATTTCACCCGAACACCTGATAATGGATAATAAAAGGTTTTTGTTTAACTCTTAGTCAATCAGAAATTACTTCGTTTTACCATGAACGTCGAGTTTACGGACTACACCACAAACGAGTGAAAAAATGCCTCAGATTTTAGTGTTCAAATCACTTATTTTATAAAAATCCAGTGGAATATTTAAAATTACTGTCGTTAATATATCAACATTGGGCGTGTTTGGCCGAAGTAAGTACTTACTAAACTTAGTAAGTACTTACTTCGGCCAAACACGCCCATTCACATAACTTCAAATATCTGTCACCTAATGTGACAGATGACTACGATCAGTGGCTTAACATTAGGGTGGCAGGGGCTGGCAAGATAGAGATATTCTGTTCTATGGATGAATGTGAAGTCTCCAATACGCATTGGCCTAGCGTGGGGACTACAGACCATTCCCTCTCGCCTTAGAGACGAGGCCTATGACCATTAGTGGGACATATACAACGTGTAATTGAGTACGGTGATAATCTCGAAGTTTAATAAAATTAAACTGAGTACAACGTGACGATTTTTTCTGATAGGGTCCCATCAAAAGAATTTGCCACGGGCCTCAGATGGTATAGTTACGCCACTGACTACGATTGCTGAAAAGCACTCGATTTACTTCTACCAGTTAGCCTGGATTAAAATAATATTATTTGTACCACTTCATCTAATTATTAAGTACTTGTTTATATGTGAAGATTTTTTATTGGCGTACAAAGTCCATTATATTTAGTAAATAATTTAGTTGTAAGTAAATCTATTTAATAAATAAAAATTCTGTGTCTTTGGAATCCAACGACAATAACAATCACTTACTTCGGCAAAGTAATCCTTTTCATTCCAAAACGGCAAGAATTGCGCCAAAAACTTAGTGACAACAGGCAAGCCCTGCATAAGCGTCGTTTGGAAGATGGCCAACTGGGCAAGGAAATTCTCTTTCTCGGCAACACTATGTCCTGATGATGCAAGGAAGACTGGGAAGAAGAAAAGACACAAATTTTATTTGGGTTTTTTCACAGTACCCGTTAATACGATCAAGCATCCTCATTGAAGTTGATCCCTAAAAGAAATCATAATAAGCTTCCCGCTTAAGATGCGTTTTTGTCAGAGACCCTATGAAATCGATTCAGTTCTTAGTTAGGTATAGTTCTATTAGTTGATTGAATTATTATATTTCATATTTCCAAAAACATTTTAGAATATGGTACTAAGAACGTGTCAAGTCAAGAAAATTTTGATCCTATTCAATTGCATAGATTAAATAATATCAGAAATTTCTAGTAAATGCGCTTAGGACATCTTAATTATTACACTAAGTCTATTTTGTATTCTGCTAGTGATTAAAGATATTTAAATAAACGTAAAAACGCGCGTTTCTATATCAAGTTACAGTCGTAATCGCTGCGATGCGATTTATTTTGACACAAAAACAAGAAAAGAGCGTACCTATTCTTCAAAGGCCGGCAACGCGCTTGCGAGCCTTCTGGCAATGTCTATGGGCGGCGGTATCTATTAACGACAGATGAGCCTACTGCCTGTTTGCCCCGTTATATAAAAATGCACTTTCTATAGAATCTAATATATATCCATACTCTGGTTTTTAATTCCGTAAATTTCTAAGAGCTATCACATTTTGACATGTCAGAGATGGTAAACCTTTTTGGCCGGGCACATTTTTCAATTTCAATACGAGTCTGAACATCTGAGTCTATACAAACATTTTATTTGTGAGTGAATAACTCTATTTTATTAAGTGCGGTGCTCCACATTCAAAGTGATTCAACGGCGAGTTATAATTACGTCCCCTTTCATCACAAACAGTAAAAAACGCACAAGTAAAGATAACATTTTTTTTTACTTAATTTGGAATTAGAAAGCAGTGATGCCAGCTAAAGAATAAAATAAAGTAATTAAAGTTAATTCGATATATTGTTCGTGATATTGAAATATTTGTTATTTTTGTATTAGGTCAATTGAGTAAGTAAATATTTAGATTTATCTTTTTGTAGATAAAACAAAAAATACGTAGCATTTTTTTATTGCCCTCAAATAACTCAAATTTGTCCCTTTTTCGGTGGAGAACTTTTTTAGTAGCAACACTAATGAAATGTCAGAATTCTACGGAATGAAAAATCACAGTATAGGTAAACTAATTCATAATAACCTTAATTCTTTTGTTCCTTCCTAACTGAAACATTTATTACTTCTAAACAAAAAGGGTCTAACTTAGAAGAAATTACTGCGTTGCACTACTTTACTGCTTTATTATAATAAAAAATAAATCAATAAAAATACTTACAATATGAAAGTACATGATGCAAATCGTGTATTAGAAATGTGAACTGATGTTGATCGGTCAGAGATAACAAAGTGTGGCCTGTCGCGTTGCTAAGCAACGCACGTAATCTAGCTGGTCGCGACAATTTATGGTTCAGACTGTACTGCAGTAATGCTTGTGGCCTGAAATTATTATAAGCAATTGCATAATTGACAGATTGAGTTTGTTATGAAATAAAATATGTTTTGTTATTAAATCAGCAGTGTTAGCCAAGTGGCTTGTGGGTGCGACTCTCAAACCTGACGTTGTTCGAATGACGGTTGCACCAATGCACTTCTTATACCATGGAAAGAAAAGTATTGCACATATGCAATTAACTAGCTCATAGATGAAGGAAAACATTCTGAGCCATAAAAACGACGGCATGTGTCGGACGCAGAAGGCTGATCACCCACATGCCCCCTCCCACTTCTCTTGTCAGCAAAACTAAGCAAAGCTCTCAAAAATAGTAAATAAACGTATTATATTTATGTAGGAATCCTCGAAAATGCATTTCGTTTTCAAGCATAGACAATGTGTGGGTAATATGTGTAAAAAAGTACATAATTACTGCTGACGTAATCACCAAATAAGAAAATCAAAGACTCAAACCCCCCTCCCCCCTATAGTACTTACGTAATACTTGAAAGGCCCCTTAGAAATAACAAAAGATCACAAAATGGACACAAAAATAACATAAAAGACCATATCCAAGGGTTATAGGGCCAACAATTTTATATTTTTGTAATTTTCATAAGGATGATTTTTCTAATAAAGATTAGTAAAGTACGAACTTAAAAAAATACAAATAATACAATTATTTCATTCTACCTTATTACTAGTAAGATTATTACAGAATTTCATTAATTGTAATATAATTATTACTATCATTTTTATCGTTATTATATATTTTTGTTTTTAATATAAATTTTATACTTTTTATGAACGCACTACACAGCTTTTGACATAAATAATAATGATTTAAAAGCATAATTTCTATTTATAACTAAACATAATACTGCAATATTAATTAAATATAACGTGAAAAAAATTATCCAATATAAATAACAGTACGTTGCGGAAAGCCTGAAGTTAGTTTTCAGAGGTAGGCAAACTTCACAAACAACAAATCTTGCAACTAATCAATAAACTGGATCCGAAATCGCAGGACAATGAAAAGATGGCGCGTAACGGAAAAATGTGACGACGTCACGTGACGTAAATTTTTTTCCAACGCCGATAAAGAAGTTTCACTTCAAAAATCTCTTAACTTCAGTGTAGCTATTTTACTTACTCAGAAAAATCCAAATATGTTTTTTGTGGTATATTTCGATTGTATTGTGTCGACCCTATTTGCACAAACTCCAAACTAGGTACCAGTTGACCATGTTTTTTGTTTGTCTTTCCCTAAAAATTATCATAGCATTAGTTCACAAAGTGAAGAAGTATCTTAACATTACCTTTTTTATAAGTTTAATACAGAATTAAAATATGTATGATGATACAAGATTATATTTTACATAATTTTCTTTTTGTATTCTTATATATAATAATTTATAAACTAGCTGACCGGCCAAGCGTTGCTGTGGCTAAGGTTTTTGTTATATTACATAGTAGTAACCTATTCAAGGGAAACAGTAGGAGAACACCAGTCATGACTCATGGGGACCACCATGCTTTTTTGGTGGTTATGCCATTAAATTGTAGCTTATGTGAAACGTTGGTACTTTCAACACAGCGCCATCTGTTAGAATTGTGACTATCAAATAATAAACAAATATTTTGCAATAAAATAATATTGCGGGTATATATTGAGATGTAAGCTAACCTATCTTTTAAGTTGGATCAAACTACACACGGTGTGCAAATTTGATTGATATTGGTTTGGTAGTTTAGGAGTCCATGGCGGACACACAACGTAATTTATATATATTAAGATTAATTTATAAACTCACCATTCCCAAATCACCCCATACCAGCTTTAGTTTCACCTGGCTGTTGTTATTTTGTCTGATCTGTAATAAATATGACTGACTGATTTTTTTTATTATATAATAAAAAACAAATTGTTCGGCATACACTCATGTATATTTAGACACCAAATTTAAAAGGCAACAAGAATGTTAGTCTGGAGAAGACCATTATTCACCTATCACAATCAAGATCTGCTTTCCAGTTTCTTAGCAGTTTTAAATTCTAAAAATTTTGTGATTTATTGAAACAGACTAATGCAATAGGATGAACTGTAAAATGGGAGTACTCAACAGACATTTCATCATCAAGCTTTGGCAAGAACCTGCAGCGGGTTCTATTTTTGCAGTCTATTTTTTTATATTTAACATATAAAAAACGCAGCACGCGCCAAATTTAGATATTGTCTCTATTGATGTGTTTAAATAAAAACTTTTTTGAAAAATTAATCTACTTCATAACAATTATTCTTATTTTTAACTTTTAATTTTATTTTATTAATTTGACTATACACTGATAATTTTTTATTTTTTTTCGACATAGTATTTATTACATTCCTTTTCTTTTTTTGCGACTGAAGAGCAAACTAGCTGCTGTGGTCTCTGGCAGAATGACCAGCGCTGTGGAACATTCTGCTCCTCAGCATAATGCTGAGCCAGGGCCAATTACAGCCACAGCACACACGGATTACCCGCTTGAAACGGACCGAATGGGAAAAGGGAATTTTTAAAAAAATTTTTTTATTGTTTTTTAGATATCTCTCACTTTATTTTTTCTTTGATTATTGTTATTTTGTGTGTGTGTTTTTGTTTGTAATAAATGTGATGTCTATGTCTATTGTCTAAAAGGAATTAATAATATATAATTTTTTTAATTAAATATATAACATACCTGACACATCTTGAATCTTTCAACAAGTTGAACATTAAGTTTTTTAAATGCTGTATGAACAGAAACTGAAGGCATTTGTTCTGGAACACATTCTGGCTTGTATGTTTTAAACAAACCAAGGAGAACTTGCAGCTGTCTAACTAAACTCTGAAGAAAAATGATTTATTTGTTGATATAATGGCCATGATTTGCTGCAATTGATGGCTGCACTGTTGGCAACTAATTGCCCGGGCATTACAAAAATATTTTAATGCAGCTGATGGCCGAACAATCTATGGCTGGGCAATGTGTTGCAATATGTCTGCAATAGTATGGCCCATGATGCAGACTCCTAAACGGGCTACACAAACCGGCAACAATGGCTGACGAAATCACACTTGTCGCAGCAGCTTATATTGTTTTAAAAAAGAAGAGATTGTGCATTCGACCTTACTTAAATAGCCGTGAAACTGTAGACAATTTGAGTCTAGAAATAAGCCTTGATAATAAATTAGTAAAGTACTAGAATGTCAAATGCAGCTGATCGCAAAACACAGAATATAGCAACAGGCACACTTCACTCATCGCAAACGTCATGTCGCGTAGAAAAGGATACACTATGCCATAACAAAGAGAGTGACTGAAACAACAATAGAACTGGCTGTGCAATATTGCAGTTGAATTCGATAGCCTAGCGATCGTTCGGCAACCCATCGGGGCAACATTGGCCATATGTGGCTATATAAAACATGTTTGGCTATATGGCCGGGACATTACTGCAATATTGCATATTGTGGCTGCTTTTGTTTGCAATGTTGCCGGGCCACAGTGTTGCAGCCATCAATTGCAGCAAAACATGGCCCGTTTAGAAGCGCCATAACAATGACAGCTTGCCATTATTGTCCAATGGCGCGTCTAAACGGGCCATGTTTTGCTGCAATTGATGGCTGCACTGTTGGCCACTAATTGCCCGGCCATTACAAAAATATTTTAATGCAGCTGATGGCCGAACAATCTATGGCTGGGCAATGTGTTGCAATATGTCTGCAATAGTATGGCCCATGATGCAGACTCCTAAACGGGCTACACAAACCGGCAACAATGGCTGACGAAATCACACTTGTCGCAGCAGCTTATATTGTTTTAAAAAAGAAACAGAAAAAGAAGAGATTGTGGATTCGACCTTACTTAAATAGGCGTGAAACTGTAGACAATTTGAGTCTAGAAATAAGTCTTGATAATAAATTATTCAAGAACTAGAATATCAAAAGTAGTCATTTTTACGTAGTAATCTAACGTCAAATACAGCTGATCGCAAAACACAGAATAAAGCAACACGCACACTTCACTCAAAGCAAACGTCATATCGCGTAGAAAAGGATACACTATGCCATAACAAAGAGAGTGACTGAAACAACAAGAGAACTGGCTGTGCAATATTGCAGTTGAATTCGATAGCCTAGCGATCGTCCGGCCACCCATCGGGGCAACATCGGCCATATGTGGCTATACAAAACATGTTTGGCTATATGGCCGGGACATTACTGCAATATTGCATAGTGTGGCTGCTATTGTTTGCAATGTTGCCGGCCACAGTGTTGCAGCCATCAATTGCAGCAAAACATGGCCCGTTTAGACGCGCCACAACATAAATAATTGATCTTACTGTCTAGTACTATAAAAATTATATTTTTGTACTTTTACTTGTCTTAAAGAATTGACTAATTTTTTTACATTTATATTGATAACATAGGCATAGAAGGAACATATTTTAAGTAAACAATTCTTTTAAACAAAATACAATGGTTTTTGTTAAATGTGAATTTAATATTTATACACTAATTACATTAGGTACATCAATATTGTATGAAAGTTCCACTTACTTTCTTGCCTTCTCTCTTTTTAACCTCTTTAAGGATTTCCAATACATTTTTTCTAGTGACATCAAAAGGTTTAGTCAAAACATATATCAGTTTTATTACATGAGATGTCTGAAAAGAATATTTAATATTTAACAAGTATTTTAAAACCTCTAGCCACCATTGGTTTCTAAAAAAGGTATTATTATTTACATTCCTATGTTTCTTGACCTTGGCTAAGCTTGACCACTTATCCAAACTATCTTGGTGGCTAAGTGGCCAAGCTCTTGGTTTTATTCATTGAAGCCAGCATCCAACTTTCACTTCTAGCAAAACTATAATTGTTGATTTCCAACATTCCTTTAAAAAGTTAGTGAAAATAAATGTAATTTTAACATCACTTAACCTAGGAAAAATTAGGATTATAGGAGTATATTATATAATATAAATAGAAAAAATCTTACCAATTTCTCAGAGAATAAAAAACTATAAAATATCACATAACCCATGTCAAGTGCAGTGCTATTAATTGAGTCAGCATCCATAGCAACTAAAACAAAACAAATAATTATGTTCCCTATAAATGAGAGAATGCTGAAATCTTCCCCTAATTCATAAAACTATATCTCACACAAAAAGGTAAAGGCACAGATATTTCTATAGTTATTACGAGTTAGATTGTACTTTGTTACTAATGCATTTACATACCTGTTAACCAGTCCAAAACAAAACAAATTCTGGGATGAAATGTTGGATTCCTATTATTCGCTAGCAACCATCTTAAAGCATATTCTACAGAGTTCTGTCCTACTTTTTTCTGTGGAATAATACAGCAACCAAGGTTCGTCCATTTTCTTATTGCTGCAATATAGAAGGATTGTTTCATTTTTCAGGAAAAAATCAACAGTGTCTGATTATTGCAATACATTGGGTATTGCTATATTAAAATATAACATACGTATATTTAAGTTTAGCCAAAGCTTAAATAGAATATGAAAATTGGCATCGTCCAACCCAGTGTTTTGGGCAACATAGGCGAGTTCTTCTAATTTACACTCAAATAACTCTTTGTCAAAACCTTTCTTCAAAGATTTAATATAGTCAATTATTTCCTCTACATCGGTCATATTGTAAAGTTAAATAAAAACAATTTAGATATTCACTGACTCCTCAAAACATATTCTGAATGCTGAAAGCTTTGAAAACCAAAACAAAATTCAAATATAACCGTTTGCCGTTGGTCGTTAGCTTTTTGGATGCACAATGCACATTTGACGCGAACTACGTGACGTGACTTTGAAATTGACATTTAAATTACATCTTTGTACCATAGCTTGCAGTTATTACTAGTTGGCATATGGGTAGTCTGCATAGAAGAAAATTCTGAGTTGATCTAAAATAAGAAAATTGTACAGTAGTAGCTTTGCTATGCATTATTTCTTGTCTCATTTCAGTAATTCTGTAAACATTTTATTTCTAAGTTTCGATAAACAACTGTTGTTAAGTTATATTTATCCCGTCAATTATTTGTCTACGGCTTGATACACTATTGTTGAAATATTTAGCTGAGCGGTATTTAATTCTTAATTAAATTACTTAAATTAGTTGAAATATGAGATAATATTAATGTCTTATTCAAATATAAATATTATAAGTTTGTCAGCAGTACTGTGTAATATGGTGACAGCAATACATATATTGTCTATAGTATTAAAACTATAAATGTTACCATTCAAGTGAAAAAAAATAAAATTAGGTAGTTTGTACTTAAATATTTTTGAGTAGATTTTTCCTTTCATTTCTATCTTCTCTATTTTGACAATTATACTATTAGATTAAGGTAGCCGAGATAGTATATTATTTGTTTCTTAAACCTAGAGCCTATAAACAAATATGTAATCTAAACACAAACATTTTCCACTAAATCTACACCTTAAAATAGCTGTACCGAAAGACCGAAAGTTCATAGTAAATTTAATAGTTTGAATTATAAATCATTGTAGATAAGACACATGGGTAATCTGCTGAAACAATTAGATTTTGATTGACAAATAATGTATGATTAAATGAATTCAGTTGACTTGTAAAAGCTTGTAGGCGTAAGCATAACTGCTTTGTAAAAAAAAACCAGTCTGTTTCTAATTTTATTTCTAACGTTGAAAAAAAAAATATTATTTCGTTATTTTCTTATATTTTTAAATCTACAATCACTACAAATAAACTAATCAGTTTAAATAACAATACTAGAACGAAATGCAAATTTTTGATTTAAAAACTGTCATCCCAAAACCAAAGACAATATTCAAGCTATCCGTTTTCTTAAGTGTCAAACTAAACGAATTGTCGTTTGATGTGAAGTAAACAGTATGGATATTTTTGCCAGTAAGATATTTTAGAGAAATGTGGTTCAAATCATATAATCCACTATTAATTTGAGACTGTTTTAGTCCAAGGAATAAACATGTGGCCCGTTCTATTAAATATGACACGCGACGAATGTCGACGGACGCTCAGAAGACTTGGTATATATTTAGTTTTATAATGGCATTCATTTTCCCTCCTATGCTTTTCTGAACTCAATACAAGCTATCTTTTCTCGAAATTATGAATGTTATTTCAATGTATATAAATAGGTATCTGTCTTTACAGAGTTAGAAGCATATTCGAATATGATAAGCGTGTTTAGAGCGCAAGGGGCATTGGAAGAAGATAGAAAAAAGTTACTCGAGGAACTGCGCGCCGTTTTGCATATAAGCCATGACCGCCACAGTGCTGAAGCGCGACGCGTGTCTAATGACGAGCTCTTAGCAACAATAGCTGAGCAGTAAGTTTATTTTTTTTATTAAATAGAGAAAACTTAAGATCAACTTTTTATCTTCCCTAAGCTCAGTCAAAGATGGCTGCATGCTGTGTTTTAACATGAATAGCTAAGCTAATTTTAGAGTTAATATTCACTTCAATGCTTTCCTATAAGAAATGGATCAAGACTTGTGAATTGTATGTATTTGCAAAAGTATTCATTTTAAAATCTATACAGCCATGTAGAATGTTCTTCTTTTATTTTATACTATTTAGGTTTCAATCAATGAATAGTATGTATCTAAAACTTAGTTAACATTTTTATAGTTTTCATATTGACATCTAACCTATCAAAAGAAATAACTGTCACAATATGATTTTTGGATTTTACAGTATTTAATTAAGTGATTAAATATTTTAATTTATAAACCATATGTTGTAATTTAAAATTGTTTAAATTGGAACTGCATGGTAAATAGAGTGGCTAATTATTTTAACCTAAAATTATATAAATTATGTCTAAACATATATATATATTTCAGTTTTCTGATTATATGTGATAACTAAGACTTTTATAGTAGACATTATGTTTTTTTTGTATAAAGTACAATAATAATTGTTGACTTGAGGCAGTTGTGAGGAAGCATTTAATTAACCATATTTATATTCACTAAGACCTTTATATAAATTCTATACTACTTAGCAGTAAAACACACATGATTTGTCTAGCAAATGAGAAAGCCATTTTAAGTGTGTATTTAAAGTACATGTTAGGTGTTGTAGGTAAAATTTAAATAAATTTCCAGCATAGCTGGTCCAAACACAGGGCTAGCATGGATCAGCGAGGGACGTCGAATTATACCTCTGATGCCGCGTGGTATTGCTCAGACCATGTATACAGAGATTGCGGATAAGGTAGCGGAAGTAACAGCAGCTGAAAATAAGGAACTTAAAAAAATGGAAGACAAACTTATAACACCAGTTTCAAAGGAAGTAGAAATGCCAGATCCAGAAACTGCTGAGTCTGCTTTAGAATGCAGTGAGAAAATGGATGATGTTTATCCTCCCATTGCTACTGAAGACCATTCAAGCAAAGTTTGTAAACTTTTTTTAATGTTGCTTAGTTCACCTGCGCCAATTTAAGAAATATAATTTACTTAAATGTTTATGGAAGAATTATTTTTCTTTTAGATTATTTTCCTCTTTTCTTGTGCGAAAAATTTTAATACCTAGAAATTTTAATATTTTATTTATTATTATTAAAGTTAACTGTATGTTAATACAGAAAATTTTATTTTATTATCACATATGTCATTAAATTGTAATATTGTAATTAAATAAAATTAAAGTATGTCACTATAGTAAGTTATCAAATTATAATAAACTATTTTTAAATTTTATGTTACTCAAAATTCTTTTCAGATATGGGAAACTGAAATAATTTGTCGAAAACGGAAATTAGAAGAGGATGGTGAATTTGAGGACACCATCACACCAGTTAAAAATATGAGAAATATTCCTGTTAATATGCATCAGAAACATGTAAACTTATCACAAGTTTATTCAAAATATTCACAACCCACTTCCAGTAAGTATTTTGGTAATTATTTTGAAATTTCATAATGATAAATACAATCTAAATTGAATTTTCTTACAGGTAAACAATCAAGCCAGTCCAAACATTCATATAATCAAGTTAGTAAAGTTTCAAGTAAGCCGTGTCAGACGCGAGCGCCTAGACAGCAAAAACCTAAAGTGCAAAAGCCTAGGGCTCCTCGTCAGAAAAAGCAACCGAAAGATGTTCAATCTCCACCCGCAAATAAGTTCAATCCAGTCTCTTTACAAATGGAATACTCTGGTCCACCCAATACCTTCCAGGCTAGTTACGCCCAATCCATATTGTCTAACAAAAACAGAGATTTTGTAGATGAATTTAAACCAAAAGTAAAGTCCTCACCCGGAATGGTTAGCGAGTCTCCCACAATGCATTTGTTAACACAACCCGCTACCGTTCCACATGAGTTAGGGCTTTCGGAAAACGCACATCCGGATGATCCAAAATCATTGCAAGCTCAAAGCACTCCTATTGCAAAGCAACCACTAAACGCGATCAAGGCGTCCCAAATTATTCTCAAAAGTAGAGACTCTGAAAAGAAAGTCCCGGTTCCAGACATTAAAATTGTACAAAAACCGAATGACAATATAAAAATACTCGCGAACAGACAAGTCGTCGTGGCGCCGAGTTCCGCTCAAAAAACTTTGAATGCGAGGAAATTAGTTGCGGCGAAAGTCATAGGTTCGATTCCGAAGGTTAGAACGTCTTCAACGCCCGTTAAAACCATATCCGATAAAATGGTTGTTGTCTCTAAACCTCCAATCGATACAAGAATATCGCATCCAAAATTCGTAATAACATCATCGTCGACTACTACATCCATGAAGTCCTCAACCCCAGTCAGTTCAAATAACTATTCACCTCCCACTTCCGAAACTTTGACCCCGAAGGGTATTCCCGCTACAGATTTAAAAGTTTCAGCAAAAACATTTGTGAATCCTAAGTCTGGAAAAACAATGGTTGTTTTGCCAGCAAAGTCGAGCAAAGAAGGTCCCTTGTTCCACTTTAAAGGAGTTTCTCAAGCCATGAAGCTCGTATCGGTTAGTTCACAACCTAACACGATGCCGACATCAAAATTTCATCCAGGTGCTTCAACATTGAAACCAACTATAGTCAATGCTTCTAGCCCTAAAATTCTTGGGACGGAGCCAATAAAAACTGCCAATTTGGCTGACATAGTTCCGGTTAAAGGTTTAACGCCGACACAAAAAATGATAAGCCCCATAGTTAGACCGGTCAGTTCGAAAGGAAACGTAATAGTTGTTCAGAAAAGCGCAAACCTCGGAAAAACCTTAAAATTTACGAAGAACGGCAATGATATGTCAAAAATTATTATGGGGAAGAATGTAAACCAATTGTTGCAAGCTAAGTCGGAACAGGGAGAGCTGTCTAAATCCAATGTAATTGTGTTGGAACTGAACAATGAGCAATCGGGAAAGACGACAACTATGTCCGAAATAATAGATAGCCACATACAAAAACCTACGCCAGAGGAGAATAAACCGAGTCATATTATAACCCAAGACACGCCAGTGTTATTCGATACTCACCCGGGAGAGGGCAATGCGAGCAGCTTAGATTCAACTGCATCTTTGGAGAAAGATGGAAATCGCCAGAATGAAGCCAAAGATTCGCCCAGTCATTGGGATATGGAAATCGAATCAGTTCCGGATAGCAAAAAAACCGAAGACAAATTGAACTCGTTACATTTAGATCTTGGTATATCCAGTGAGAGTGAGACCGAATATATGGCTGATGGAAAGAACAAGAGTGATCATTCGTCACAAGATAGCGTTCACCAAGAAACTCAGAGAGGTAAGTTGCGTTCATAAGTCATCACAATCAACTGATTTTGAACTATATTAATATTTACGAAAATATTCACTCAAGAATAAACAAACGTATGTATTTCTATGAATATTATTTGTTTTTATATAAAAAGCATTTTATACCGGGTATCTAAGAACCGCATCTGGGTATTTTTCGTGTTTGTTTTACGGAAATTATAAATCGTAACCGCGCAATGTATCGTACGGATTCCAAACAAAAAAAACCTTCTCTTTCAATTTATGAACTTCATTTTACCTTGAGCGGTTCGTAGGTATCCCTTATTTAGTTTATTATATTTATTTTATTTGTGAAATAGGTGAACAGTGAAGCTTTTATTGAACTCCGAGCCATCGCTCTTTTACTGCTCGTAACAAAAATTTTTTTCTTTGCAAAAATATTTTCTCAATATCAGTAAAGACTTGGGTAAAATTGAACTATTGCTATTTTAGGGATGACCAGTGAATTGTATAGTGGGGGGAGCATGTCTCTAGCCACGAGGACGTTACTCAGTCAGCTCCAAGACGATGGTTCGTCGAGTAATGACTCCTCGTTCGCGCTCAAATCGAAAAAAGCCGCACAGAGTAATAAAATCGACAAATCCGAGTCCGAAGCGTTGTCCAAGGCGAAAGCGAAGCTTACGCAAAAGGTGGCAGAGGAACAAAGCCAGCAGAAACGAATAGACGTTTATAGCACGGCAATTTCGACGACTGACATAAATCTTGACTCGTTTTCGTATTTAGATGAGAGTTTGATGGCTGATGATGAATTTCCTGAGGGCCGACGTGAGCCTCGACGCGATATTCTAGACGATCAATTGAGCCGCCTCCTAGCAGAGGACTCCGCTAACTCCTCAGACTCACAGACGGTTGAACAATTGCCTATGACTAACGAGTGACTGTGAAAGTGTTTTCTGTGAAAATTACTCGACTCATGAGGCTAATGAAATGACATATTTTTATATGTATGTACATTATGTTTTAAAACGTTTACAAATGTTGGTACAGTACAAAAGTACTACAATGTTTATTTGTTTGCGATTCGGACCAGAATGTAAAATATTGTAAAGGGCAAGAATAGTCATAGCCTATATTCAGATCTGTTATACAAATTCTATTTTTTTTCTATGCTATTAAATTCGTAATCAAATGAAACTACTTTCAAACGTAAATATTTGGATAGAATACAGCATCTCTTGCCTACTTACTTGTACTTAAATATAACATATACATAGCTAATATATAGTAAAATTATTTTTTGCTAAATGCCGCCAAAGTAGAAATTATAAATAAATTTTAAAATGTACGTGTCGAGTTTTGGAGATATATTAATTTTCTTTCCCACACACTTTCTTATACTTTTCTCTTCTTGAAACCTACATATCCATTTTATTAACTTCCTAAATTACCAATGAGTGAGGTAGTCTTAAAATGCTCAAGCAATAACGTATAAATTAGTAAGTTATGTATAGATGTTTACATGTCATTGTATTATATTCGTGATTTTTACTTTCGTTTTAAAATATTAAATTTAAATTGCCCTTTTACGCCAACGAATTATAAAAGTTGCCAATGTATGAAAATGGGATTTTTTGGTGGCTACAACTTGTTATTATTTTGTGTTAAGCAAAATCTTTTTGAACTTATTTTAACAATGTAAATAAAAATCACTGACTAGACACATGAATTCACCTATTTGAAATCTAATGTTAAGTATGTAACATAGCGTTAACGGCTTCAATTTGTGTATATATAAGTTGATATGTATATTTAGATATTAATATTATGAGGTTTTATATTTTTAAAAATACTGTATTTTTCTCTGAACTTAATTTTTGAAATCTTGATTGCGAAAAAAATAAAACAAAAATAGCCTTGTTTAAAACTTTTTATGATCTTTTCATTTACCACAAATTTCCCATTGTATTATTTATGTTAAGAACGTTTAAGATTTTACAAAAATGGGGGTAGGGGTGCCCCATCCCCCTGTGTTTTTTTTTTTTTTTGCCCTCTGTTTTTTTTTTTTTTTTTTTTTTTTTTTTTTTTTTTTGTTTTTTTTTTTTTTTTTTTTTTTTTTTTTTTTTTTTTTTTTTTTTTCCCCCCCCCCCCCTCCCCCCCCCCCCCCCCCCCCTTATTAGATTTAAGATTTATGTTAATGTGTGGAATGTGAATGATAAAACTTATGTTACACGAAACTCTGAATTTATCAATTTTGGCATAGTTTAGTTTGATCTCAGATATTTCGAGCTGCATTCACATATAGCGGGTTGTAATTATCATATGGTGCATAATAATTTTAGACTAATGCTCAGTTATAGCAGTTTTTGTTTAAGTTTAGTACAACTTATCATTACCATTCACCCATAGAAAACCAACGTTGCCGTGAGAAAATGTCTCAAAACCTTCCACTAATATTTAAAGATATTTTCTCATTAAGCTAAACGTTCGTGAACGTGTATGGGGAATGGAAATAGATACGTTTAAACTAGTATAAATAGAATGCAATGTACAAGCAGGGTTTTATTCGCAATTAATATTCTGTATATCGAGTCAAACTTTAAAAGCTTAATTTCGTACGAGGTACTTGATTCAGAAAATATATATTATTGTCATATTAAATGACGGTCTATAATTCAGTATACCCTTAATTACATAAAAGTATGTATTTAAATATTACAATGCTATTTTTCTGTAGCATATGCTAGGAACTGCAAAATGCTATATGCTATGCCAGTTTTAATTTACATATAGACAGGTGTATCGCATATAAACTTGTCCTTCAATGTTGGCCTAAATGAAACAATCTTTCGTCGGGTTAATTACATTTAAAATGTACAACACTATTTTCCTTCTGTTTTCACAGTTTTTTTGTAAAAATTAATATTTCAGGACGTACAATCGAGTTTCAAGTACATTGAGGGTAGTTTTAAATTATTAAATTTCCATTTAACCTGACTATTTCCTTACTAAACAGTATTAAAATTTTATGCTTGGTATGAAAACTTTGTATGTTGACATTTTACAAAGAAAATTTAAAGTACAGATATCAATTTTATAGCAGATAAGCTACGCTGTATTCGAATGAATGAATGAAGTACCGATACTCGCCTAATGGGTGAGTGGTATCTTCATACTATCGTGAAAATGTGCATTGACTGTGCCATTAATAGATTATGACAAATTGTGTAAATAATAATAGGTATTGTTTTTATCTACGAGTTATGTATCATATTAGCGATATTTCTAAATACATTGTGTAATTAGCGTAAATTAGTGAATTGTTAGATTTATATTTTGTATTGGATGCAGGTGAATATGATTAAGATTGTTGTCAAGATAAAATCTATTGAGACTGTTTTTTAATATATTTAAGGCAAATCCATAGTGGTGTAACTGAACTCTGTAGGGCACTAAAACAAAGCAACCGATTTAAATTCTTCGCACGTTTTATTTCGTAATAACAATATCACTAATGCTAATGAAAATCGAATAGTTTTGCTTTGTTTACTATTTCTACGAAATATCGTCCGGCGTCATGAGGTGCTTAGCGCCTTTTTCGCTAGAGTTCTTTAAACCGCGTAAAATATAGCTCGATTTTGACATCTGTCAAACTAACATGACAGTACTCTGGCTGTGCCGGAGATTCATCACAGATTATTTGAACATACATAACTGAACTATTCGTAAAATATTTTAAAGAATTAACGTTACTCAAAATAAGTTCGAATTCTTTATGAAAATTTATTTTAATGAATGGCTGAAAAATACGAAGTTCATGATGTATGACAATTTTATAACTACAATTAATGCCAAAAAATTTAAATATTGCGCGTTTACAAATATCTGGCTATATTTTACAAGGCATTGTTAATCAAGAATCTATAATTATATTATTTTATTTAGTCAATGTTAACGATTGACCTGCATCAACAATAGAATAAGGATTTTATTTGTCGGCTGTAAATATCGCATTAGTTTCATTAGAATCACTAAAAACATGTTAATACAATTTCGTGTTTTTTTTCGCATCAAGTTTATTTTTCAACCTATTTTAAAATACACAGTTTTAATTATCATGTCTTTACTTTCCCTACCCAAAGTTTGCGTTTAAATAATAGAAGGAGAATGTTTATTAAAATCGCCTACGTTCTACGAATTTGGGGGCTAATCCATCAAGTGAAAAGGATAGTTTCATTTGAATCATATTTTTTATAGACTTTAAATCACCTCCCGAAACAAAATATAAAAATTAAAGTTATTGTAAGATTTAATAAAACACTATTTTGACCGGATTGAAGTTATGTATTATTATAAATTTACAACTGCTTTATTATAAATTTACAACTGCTTTATTATAAATTTACAACTGCTTTATTATAAATTTACAACTGCTTTATTATAAATTTACAACTGCTTTACAGCGTGCGTGGTCACGGTGACCACGCACGCTGTAAAGCACGCGAAACGTCGGATAAATTTAAAATTATGTTAAATAGTTGTAAATTTATAATAATACATAACTTCAATCCGGTCAAAATAGTGTTTTATTAAATGAATAAAAGTTATGTTAATCAAAGACAATATTATTGTAAGATGCTACAATAATACGTTTTACATAAAATACCTTTTATTATTGGATCATATTTAATCATTATTTTAATAAAATTTGATCTATTGTTATATATAGGTAGTATGTTTGAAACGAATAAACTCAAAGTTCTGGATCAATTTGAAAAATTATTTCACCATTAGAATGCTACATTATCCCTGACTAACATACTAAATATTTGTTTTTTTTTACAATTAGCCATTACGTTATAAATTACTAACTCCAAATGAGTTTTTAATTTCCTGTCAAATGATAATAATATTATATTTACTTAGTAATCATAAAACAATTCAGCCTAAAATTTTGATATGAAAATCCCGAATGCATTAAATATGTGGGTAGTAATAAAAATTGTCTAAAAGTTATACTTTTATTTCTAAAAATAAAATAATCATAGTAAATATATAAAGTGCGCGAAATACATCTGGTTCAGTAAACATTTAATGCTTATGGCAGTTTTACTTAAATCTAAGAGGTGACCTTATGCATGGCCTCGGCGACGTAGTCGACGTTCTTTGAAGAAATTCCGGCCACAGAAATACGTCCGTCCTTGGTCAGATAGATATGGAAGTCCTTGGTTAGTCGTTCCACCTGTAATTGAACATAATTATAGTTTGTTTTATTTAGATTAAGGTTTTTTTATAAGATTTGGTTAAGCACTTATTGCACTTTACTCATCATAGTTATTTTTTAGACCGCCGAAAATCAGCAATTTTTTTATCAACCTGTATGATCATAAATAGAAGTCTGATAATGCCATTCCTGTGGGAGGTGGCGAAATTTTTTTTTGCAGATTTTCGGCTTTATGATGGCCATTTGGAACCGTCCGAAAAGTATGACAGGACACTGCCGCCTCTTATTTTGTTTAAGAACTATCGGAAAATACTAGATTTTTTGTGGAACAAATCGTTTGACTTTCGACTAACGCCCACGCGATTGGGCCGCCGGTACCAGCGCTTTGACCATCATTTTTCATAGCGTAATAAGACCCCTGAAGAACCGCCATACTAGTACAAATGACCCACTATCTCCCGGCCTATGACGCGTTTCGTGGTGGTCCTTAGAAATAAATAAAAAAATTGAGACACCTGTATGTACACGTGTCCAGCTAAGTTTAAAAATGAAACTGGTACCAGGCAGGTTGTAATTAACCTATCACAGCTCGTAACCTTTTTTGATTTACCTCATTATTTATAAGAAATAATTTGCTCTAATTACACCGATATAACTACAGTCACCTGGCTCTTTTTATCACAGCGAAAACATTATTTGACAGAACGAGATGAGAGA